TTAACTTCTCTAAAGTCAACCTCAGCGACATAAATCGAGCAACAAATGCCCGCGAAAACTGGAAAAATGCAAAATGCAAAAAAAACTTTAAAACATGAACAATTGCCAGTTCAGTAGAACACTTCTCGGACAAATCCGCGTCGTCAAAGCTCAGGTTGAAAGCAACTACAGCATGACGATGTCCACAAAGCACTGTCTACTACCTTGGATAGTACGACATGCAGCATGGACGGTAAATCGCTACGTCATTCACTCAGACGGCTACACAAGCTTTGAACGCCGCTGGGGAAGAAACTACGAGCGAGCAATCTGCGAATTTGGCGAGACACTACTTTACCTTCCACCACAACACAAGAAACTTCCAAAAGCAGACCTACGGATGCAGAAATGCATCTGGCTCGGAAAAGTTTCCGAAACCGGAGAAAACTACGTCGCAACGGAATCAGGCGTACAAAAGGTACGAACAGTACGAAGACTACAACCGGACTTCAAATACGACCTCGCACTGTTGAACAAAGTTTCCGGCACACCATGGGCACCACGACGGAACACCTACAACCCATCGTTCGCAACACTGTTGGATACGCAACTACAACCGTCAGAGAAAAGAAGGTCCACGCAAGATTTCGGACAACAAACGAACGCTACGGACGACATCGTTGCGGAACCCGCAACAAAACAACAACGCACTACACCACCTCCACGACTTCCGTCCACATCGACGTCAAGTTCACGACCACTACCGGATAGTCCTATGGCTACTTCACCAACTGGACGACAACATCCACCACTACCAGCACCACCTCGACAAACACTACGACGTTTAACTCCGGAAGAAGTAATGCAACCAACTAAAGCACAGAAGACCTCAAAGGACACTACAATCAGATCAACGGAACAAGCAACCAAAGAACCACCACCACTACGACAGAAAATCAACGCAGTGACACTTCCCAACGGAAAATCCATCACTCCCTACACAAACGACGACACCTCAGAAGACCAACCCATAATCTTCGACAACGAAGGTTACGACGAAACACAACTACTGGAAGGAATGAAACACGAGTCAAACCAAATGAAACTACACGACGTCTACGACGAAGTAGATGCGTCTACCGTCAACGACAACGTCATCAGAGAAGCGATACCTACAAGATGGGTACACAGAAAGAAAGGACCAGGAGTACGAAGCCGAATCGTCGCAAAAGGCTACACCGAGAAGATCGAGGACGAAGACTCCGTCTACGCCTCTACACCAATGTTCACGACACTCCGGACACTTCTCGCACTACAAATGTCACGACCAAACTGGATCGCGCGACTAGGTGACGTCTCTACAGCATTTCTACACGCACCCATCGCAAAAGACCACGACGGTAAACAACGTGACGTCTACCTTTGGCCACCTAAAGAACTTTGTCCACAACAGGACAAAATCTGGCGACTAAAGAAAGCCATGTATGGACTACGCAGTTCACCGAAAGCATGGCAGGACTACCTGGCTGAAGTTCTACAAAAGCTCAGCTTTGTAAGACTAAAGTCAGAACCCAACGTCTACACCAATGCGACTCGCGACTGCTACATCATGGTCTACGTGGACGATCTACTAGTACTTGGAGACAAGACCGCAGTCGACTCCACTTTCGAGGCCGTCCAGAAGCAGGTACTACTCAAGCACATCGGCTACCTCGAACCTGGCAAACCACAACAATTTCTTGGAAGAAACATCGACCACTTCGGCAACTACTGCAATCTTGGACTAAAGGACTCCTACATCGACAACATGATCGAGGAGTCTGGAATGAACAACTGCAACTCAGTGAACACTCCAGGAATTGCACACTACAAACCAACAATAGAAGATGAAGCACTACTTGACCACGAACAACACAAAAGGTACAGAAGAATTGTTGGCAAACTTCAATGGTTAGCATACACACGACCAGACATTGCATACTCCACAAAAGAACTAGCACGAGACCTCACAGCACCTACAGAACTTTCACAAAAGAGAGTCAAACATCTACTACGCTACTTGCACGGCACCAAGCACTACAAATTCACCATAGAACCAACAACAACACTCAGAGCAAACACCAACAACATCCTGGATCTCGACGTTCATGTCGATGCCGACTGGGCAGGATGCCCTACTACCAGGAAATCAACTTCAGGTTTCAACATCATCTTTTAGGAACAACAGTTGCATTTGGCAGCAGAACACAAGCTACAATAGCACTCAGCTCAGCAGAGTCTGAACTCTACGCCATTTGCACAGGAGTTAATGAGGGACGACACCTCAGAAACTTCCTACTTGAAACCAACATTTGCAGCAAGCTAAACCTACGCATCCACACAGACTCCACAGCAGGCAAGAGCATTGCTACACGACAAGGCACTAGCAAACGAGCAAAACACATCGACCTCAAATTCCTCTACACACAAGACCTCATCAAGCACGACATCATCAGAATCCTTAAGATCAACACACTCCACAACAGCGCAGATTTGTTTACCAAATACATCAGCAAAGAAACACTACACAGGCTCATCCAGAGCATTGGAATACGCATCTAGCACTACGAACGACCAGCACAGCAGTTTCACAACAACAACAACAACGACTTTGGACATTTCATGTATGTAAGTAGCTACATGTAACACGACACTTTTGGTATGTAAGTAACAGTAACTACATGTACTTCACTTGCACTTTTGGCGGCTTGAGTCAACACTACAGTTGTTTGTTTTACATGTCTGCATTCGCCGACTGCCTGGTAGCAACTACTTAGGCTCATTTGTTTTGCCCCGTTTCACTACATTTTGCATTCCACTGCAGCCATGGCCGCTCCATCTACTGCAGATGCTACGATGGGAGACGCCACTACGCCCGACAGGGCGACTACACCTGAGGTGGCGGTCACTACGGACTCCAGTGACCATGGAACTCCACCACCTCAAACCTACAACGACTCCAACTACCACTTCAACCATTCTACACCCGGCAACACCGTCTACTACAACCCGACCACAGTGATGGACCAACTACACATCACTGAGCACCAGACAACCACTGCACCACCACTGCCCGACAACATTCCCTACACTCAATTTTTCACTGCATTTACACTTGAAGAGTATCAACTACTCTCACAACAACAAGCTACTCCACTGGCACAACTGGACTACACACGACCCATTCACTGCATCCCTGGAGATCTTCGGATGCCACACTACAATTCTACACTGCTCAGCATTTCACTACCTGAAGCAGCCAATGTCCACTACTACCACACGACTTCACTCCACACTACAACTGGCGACAACACCAACTACGTCATCATCCAACTCCAGATTGAACAACCACTACTCCTGAGGTACCTCACTTCAGGACAATTTCTACACTTCACAAGGGACTACATCTCCTACATGATGTCGGTACAACACAACTACTACCTCCCGACTACAACACTGCCACAGACAATCTTCAAGGTGAACTACAACATGACCACCTTCACTGGCAACTACAGCCTCAGGAACAACTACGTTTGGAATTACCACATGCCACTACTTCTACCTGAACTACTCCATTACCTTTACAACCGAGACCAACTACACGACTTCCAGCACAAAGCAATCACTACAATCCTCTGCAAAAGCATCCAATACTACGGATTCACACTACTCGCAATGACAAACCTCACACAACACCACAAAGCACTACTACACCGCTTTCTACGGGACTACGACCAACACATGTCGTGTCCCGAGATTGATGATGAGCGACTACGGGGAGCTCCAAACTACATGACAACCTTATTCACCACAAACTACTACGCGACCTTGGACAGTCGACTACAGATGGTCCAAGCCTACCGCACCCAGAAATGGGGACTACATTTTTGAGCTCCTGCTCTACTACAACGAGTGCCTGCCTTCACTACTTCCGTCCAGCGCCCTACATCGAGCTGGAACCTGAACAGCGTGAACTACTGAGCGCAGGTCACTACTTTTGCCAATACAGTAGAATTGATGAACAACAATGGTTTTCATCACTACTGTCAATCCATGTTTTGCACTTCAGTTGAAAAGGTACTACAAAGACCTTTTAACTGAGGGGCCGTGTCAAACTACATGCTTCACTTTGCACTCTTGTTGCATGTATGTTCACTACCGCAGGCCTTGAGCTTACTACTCCGCATGAGTCAAAAGGTTGGCAGCTGCAGACTACATTGGTTGACTGTTTGTTTGAACACTACAGCACTTGCACTTGTAAGCAAGCAAAGTAACAACTGATTTTAACGAAAAAGAGAGAGAGAGAGAGAGAGAGAGAGAGAGAGAGAGACAGAGAGGGGGAGATTGAGGAGAGAGAGGCTTGGGGGGATGGGGAGGATGGGGAGCAGAGGGAGGGAGAGAGGACGACAGAACACACGAGGGAGAGAGGAAAAAGGAGAAAAGGGAGAGGGCAATGTCGGCGGACTGAGCCGGAGGCTCTAAAGTAAGAAGCCGAAAGACGCAAAAGGAAGCGAACAATAAACACCGGTGAAAGATCCGGAAGCTGAGTGAAGCCGGAAGCTGGCGAAAGCCGAAAAACACAAAGGGGCAACAAACCGAAAGACGCAAAATCGTAGCGAGGAGAAGCTGGAAGAAACCAAAAGACGCTAAAGGGAACTGAAAACTGCTGAGAGCTGGAAGAAGACGGAAACTCAAAGGAACACGCTAAAGGCAACCTAGGAAAAACCAAACAACGACGAAGGACGCTGCCGAAAGAGGCTAAGGAACCTAAAAACAAAATCATGAACCTGCTGAAAGCTGAAAGAAGCTGGAACCTGAAAGAAGCCGAAACACGTGTACCGAAAGCCAAACAACGACGAACGCTGAAAACTAAAGACAACTGCAGGAAACGAAAAAAAAGAAGCCAGCAAGAATCCAATGCCAAACGAAAGATGGCTGAAAGAAGCTCCAATTGCTCGTTGCCGATTGCCCAAGGCCTTGGCGGCTTGGGCCAGGCCTGGCGATTCCAGGCGGCTTGAGGATAGCTTCAAAATAGAAACCGACTCGGGCGAACCTTTGGCCGCGACTTGGGCTGAGGTGGTAGGCCCTGGCGCGATCGAGCGTTTCCGGACTCAGCCGCAAAGGTCGCACCTGCAAAGGTCGCTTTGGCGGATCCGGGGGTTGTGGCACCTTCTGGGGCTCCAAAGGTTTCGAGTCGGCATCTCTCTGTGAAAACGCGCCTTGAACCTCGAGCCTCGAAACTTGAGAATTGATTCGTGCATGTGCGACGAGCTCTGAGGCCTTGGCTTTCGCTGAGCAACTTCAAGCCATTTTTCATCATGATCACGTGGCCTGCAATTGGCGGGAAAGGACAGTGCATGGCAACATGCTTCTTGGCTAAGATCAGAGGCCGTGTGACTCATGTCATGTCAAGCCTTGGGTCTCGAGATTGAACTTTGACTTAAGCTGCTCGTCTGTCCTCGGGCAAAGGCTTTGCTCTGGAGACTCACTCTTGTATCTTGTACGTGCGACCGCTTGTTCTATCTTGGTGCAAGGCATCTTGCCAGCCATTGCAATCAAGGCCTCAAAGCTGCCGCAGGGCTTTAACACCTGCGCAAACAGCATGAACACAACATGAAACAACCTTGCATTTGGCCCTCTTGGCCCTCTTGGCCCTCTTGGCCCTCTTGGCCCTCTTGGCCCTCTTGGCCCTCTTGGCCCTCTTGGCCCTCTTGGCCCTTGTGGCCCCAGCCTGCTCGTACCTCAACATGATGCCCTTCCCGCGGTCGAGTCCGCCCAGCCACTCTTTCAGCTCGGGCCAATCTGGCACGGCAAGACTCAGGGCCTCGCCTCTCGGAATTCGGCAGCTTGCCTCCAGTCCTTTCCGAGTTTTCAGGCCTGGGATATTTGAAATCTGAAAGGTGACAACTTTGATCAACTTTGCTGCCAAAGCAGCGCGCGCTTTGTCGGCCGCACCGGCTGTATGGGTCGGACTGGCGTGGGCCGCACCGGCTGCGTGGGCCGCACCGGCTGCGTGGGCCGCACCGGCACCGGCGGCGCCAAGGGTGGCCGAGGCGGTACTACCGGCCGCATAGGAACTGGAGAAGCGTACAGAGTCAGAGTCAGAAGAGTCAGAAGAGTCAGAGTGCATGTGAAGAAAATCTGAGTTCTGGGTGCCCCGACACCATCCAAACTGTCCATTCATCATCGGGAATGCCGAGAACTGCCAGCCCGGGCCAGGAGCAGGAACAGGCGGAACAGGAGGAGGTCGAAGACCGAGAGGGACAAATGGCTGGCCCTGGAAAAGCAAGAATGCAACATCAAGCCAGCGCCTCCCCGTGACTATCAGCTCTTCGACAAATGTGATTCCGGGCCTTGTCCCCTGGTCGCCTGAGTTGCAGCATCAGTCACTTTGAACCCGCAGGCAGTTTGGCCACCCCTCAAGCAAGTGATGTGGAGGCGGTCGTTTTGGTGGAGCAGGCGATGGCCGGGCCTACGTGCACACGCGCCAAAATGAGGCCAAACCGGCACCCAACATCCCACAAAGCCGCCCTTTTCGACCGATCATGCCCTTTGGCCTTTGCAGGGAGCACTTGACCTGGCTGCCGCTTGAAGAGAGACTGGTCCTGTCGCACAGTGCCTGAGCACGCCTCCGAACTCAAACTTTGTCCTTGGCAGTGTAACCTTTGCTCTTTCCTTGAGACCCAGATTTTCCAGCCTCGACGCATGCGTCACGTGCGATGCCTTGCGACGGAGCCATCGATGCCTTCGAGCCCTTTCCGCGCTCTCGGCTCCTTGATCGCTTGCGCTTTCGGCGATCACGGTCTCGCCTGCCTCACAATGCGATGATCGGTCGGTCTTCCGCGAAGTCCAATCGAGTCTCCAATCGGAGTCCGGAGTCTCCAATCGGGATTGTCAAATACGGGAACCAAACTGGGCGGCTTCACGCACAACCTCTGCCCTTGGAACGAGCTAGAACACTGGCGCCATGTGTCTCAATGTGGCGCGTTGCCTATGGAAAGAACCCAGTAGGTGGGGCTCCAGATGCAATTGATGGCTTCTGATCTGACCAATATTAAACCCACTGCATCGTCAAAATCTGTGGTGTAAACCAAGTAAACCAAGTGCATGCTCCCGGCTTCCAAAACTCTCAACTCCAGCCTCCGTCATTTCCCTTGCCCTTACCCTTCAGCAAGAGTTGCTTGAAGGGCGTGAGCTCCTGTCGCATGGCGGAGCGCAGCCGCAGCGAACTCTTCGATTGGAAAGTGCTCGAACATGTCCTGGGCCTGCTTTGTGCCTTACATGTCGGAAGAACAACAAGGCATAGGCCATGCTATCCCTGCCTCTGGTGTCGTTCTCCTGGCCCAGCTTGGGCATGGGCTAGACATGAGCCATACAAGTATGATTGTAGATACATCTTGCATGAAGAAAAGACGATACTCCGCATCTTCTCGCAGCTTGAGACATCTTCGCGCAATTCCCGCACAACCTTTGTGCTAGAACAAGGAAGCGGGAGGCCAAACATTATAGAGATTTCGTGTTTGAAAACCTCTTCCTACCTGGGCAAGGGCACACTAGCTTAGAGCTGATGCGAGCTTCGGGCAAGCGGTGCCCCTGCCCTAATTCTCACCCCCAGTCCTTCTTTCCTGGCAAGCAAGGAGCGCAAATCGATGCTCGCTCAATGCTCGCTTCTGGATGGAGAGCTGGTTTCAGAAAAGCTGAGGCGTCTCCCGCCTTTCGTAGCCCAGGATCCCCATTCATCATCGCTGTCGTTGGCCTTACATAGTGACTAAAGCCGAGCATCCCAAAAGCCTATACCCAGACATGTTGCGCCTAACCCATGTATAGGCTATAAGCGCTGAAACACGTGAGTCTCAGCTCATGGACCTGTACTAAGCCTGGGCGCGCTACTTCTGCGCCAGCCTTACCTGCCAATCTGGCAAGATCACATGCCTGTCTAGCACATGAAACACTTTCACAGTGCCTTGGGTCCCGATACATGAGATGCAACCAAGCCCCTCGCCCTTTTTGACGCAGCATTTAAATGTGCCTGAAAACGCGCGACAAGTTCTCAGCCCTGCCTGTGTTGTTCTCCTGCAGTTCGGGCCGTAATGCAAACGGGTATGCATTGGCATGCTAGCTGCAACTTCAGAGAGCTTGGAAGGGACTTTGACCTAAGATCGATTTGCACTTTGCGGTGCTCATGTAGCACACACCCCAAGGGAGATCAGCTGCTGAGAGAGAGAAAGGAACAACATTTGAGTGCGCAAATGCAAAATGTTATATACAGCGTGCCAATCTTACAGAGGTGCGGCAATCTTAGATACAGTCAATATATTATTGAGGGCCGTCTCCGAATATGTCATGATGGATTGTTCAAGACACTGATGTTGGCCCCGACACTGGCGCCCGCCGACTTCTAGATCTCGCTTCATCTCGTTTTTGTGGTGTGAAGTTTGGCATTGCGCCACTTTGGCCGTTTGGGACATTGCATCAGTCCGGTCAATCGGTTTCTTTGTCGGCAATACAAACTTGTTTGACTTGGTGAGCACAAGCAGTCATTCTTGCAACGAGGAACAACTAGGAGCATGTTTCTCGGCAGTTGCTGGTTGGTTGGAATCGCTTCGGGACCGTGTCTGGGCTTGAGCGGAAGGCGGACATCGGATGGCCCGATGGCCCCAGGCGGCTCATGCGGTCAAGAGATGTCAGCGCAGCAGCTTTGCCGAAATAGTTGCACGAAACGCAAGCTGATGCGAGCTTCGGGCAAGCGGTGCCCCTGCCCTAATTCTCACCCCCAGTCCTTCTTTCCTGGCAAGCAAGGAGCGCAAATCGATGCTCGCTCAATGCTCGCTTCTGGATGGAGAGCTGGTTTCAGAAAAGCTGAGGCGTCTCCCGCCTTTCGTAGCCCAGGATCCCCATTCATCATCGCTGTCGTTGGCCTTACATAGTGACTAAAAGCCGAGCATCCCAAAAGCCTATACCCAGACATGTTGCGCCTAACCCATGTATAGGCTATAAGCGCTGAAACACGTGAGTCTCAGCTCATGGACCTGTACTAAGCCTGGGCGCGCTACTTCTGCGCCAGCCTTACCTGCCAATCTGTCAAGCCCCCTGGCAACCTCAATCGGTTTTTTCCCTGGCTTGGCCTGCAGGATCAGACATGAGGTCCGAACGGCCATTAGCGCTCCGGCCTCTATTCAACGAACATAACAATGCGAAGCACCTCAAGATTCTGAATGCGTGCTTGTCCGAGTGTGCTTGCCTTTCGTGGTCTCATGTCTATCTGGCACAAAAGTTCAGGTAATCTCAGCGTTGATTGTAAAGCATCGGCTCAGTTCATGTTGAGAGCAAGGCTATACTGCTCAGACATTGGGCTGGAATGAGCCAGGAGAGACATTCGCCACCATGTCGTCATCACAGAGTCCAATGAGTCCAATGAGTCCAATGGACTTGCACTCCGCAGCCTTCAATGGCTCGAGAAGGGGTACTTGGTATGACAGGAACAAAGCGAGAGCGCACAGCCTTTTTCCAATTGGTGAAACATCAATCCAGGCCTCCTCAGAGCTAGGCACACTTGGCACAGATATTTTCGTCTTGGCATCTTTGCACTTTTCATCGCACCCCTTCGCCATTTGCCTTTTGAACATTTGAACGGCTGAGAGGTGGACTCATTCTTACCGGCCGTCACTCGGGTTGGACTGCGCGTAGATGCACAGGATCCTGCGAGTTGCAGGAACGCCCAGTCTCTCATCGCCTGAAGCAAGGCACGCCTTCATTGTATTTCAGGCCCAACACCAAAGCAACGAAATCCCCAAGTCCATTGACTGGTAAGAGCACACATTAAGTCAATGAAGCTAAGAGGGAAGCCTCTGATGCACGGCAAGTGCGTCCACAAAGTTTTATGTGAGAATCACGAGGCATACCTGTCCAGAACTAGGCCTTCGAATGTTGCTCCGCTCGAGACTTGTGGAGCCTTTGGCCAAATATATACATTGTGTGCGCCCTGTTGTCGACGGGTCACGCGAGCTCGTGAGCTGATGTTCCGAGCTGCTCCTCATGCACTCCAGGAAGTCATCTCGACTCCGAATAGACTCCTCAACCAGGCAGAACCTGACAGCGATTGCACCCGTAGATTGGAAACCCAAGAGTTCTGTTTTTTGGCAAGTTCGTTTTGGACACTTGCCTGAACAACTTGCCGTCAGTGTCGCCAAAGACCTGAAGAAAATGCGAGAGTTATGCAGCAAGACCGATGCATGAGCCGTCCGCGATCATCAGCAGCCGCTCCTTGTCCTAGAGCGTTCGAGAGTCGGCCCACATTGCGTAAGACATGCGTTACGCGTCGTTACGCGATGCGTTTCGGATCTACTCGCGTTCGACTCGCGTACTCGCGTTCGACTCGGTTCCTCCGGCTCAAGGGCTTTCACCACCTCTGGCGGGAAGCAGCTCCTGAGATCTCGAGTCCCAGTCGGCATAAGTGTAGGCTTCCAAGGCTTCCACGCTCCATCCTCTGCTAGCGAGTAAATGTCCTGTCACTATGTCATTTCATTGCATTTCATTTCATTGCATTGCATTTCATTGAAATGTTGTATTTCAGGAACAAGTTCTCACTGGAAGGCTCTCCTGTATTGCCGCTATGGGGCATGTCACCTCTGTGACGCCAGGCTCCTGCACAAAAACATTGGCCGTCGTGAATGGTGGCAGTGCCCGTGCCTGTGGATTCACCAGAATCAGGTATTCCAAGCTTTTGTCCTCACTCATAGAATGCCCAGGATTGCGAGTTAAGCTGCTTCTGCTTGAGCTGCTGACAATTCTGTATTGTGTCTCAAACCTCTGTGCGTTGCCTTCTTTGAAGTACCTGCCCAGGAAGCAAGCCTAGTGTTAGCCTGTGGAAGCCAGCCCAGCAAGTCGCTTGTCAAACCTGGGAAAACTTGAGTCCAAACGCTTTGATCTCGTGCTTCCTTGCACGTGTTCCCTGCACGTGACGAAGGAACACCATTGGGCGAAACCCTCATTCGTTTTGCGCGCAACTGCCTTTCAGAGTTCCCCATGCGTGTGAGGTGTTCCAAATCTGGCGGAAGTTACCCCACATTTATGGGCCTATGGGTGTTCGAAGAGCATCTTCTGGAGCACCACTGGCTTCTGAATCTGAGGCTCCAGTAGGACGTGGGAACTGGAGTTCATTCTGTGCGTGCATCAAATCTGTCGCGAAGGGCACACGCATGGACAGCCGCGAACTGCCTGACAGGTCACAATACCAAACGCATCAAACGCTCGTCACTCGAGTCACTCGAGTCACAGCGACCTTCTTGGCAAAGTTGTTGACCAAAGTCTGGAGGCGCGCCTCGCCATGTCATGGCCGTTTCGGCCGTTTCATGCAACAACTTCAAGGCGCCTTCTCAGCCTCCTTCTCCTCTTGAGTCAGAGACTTCCCCGACCTGGAAACGACTTCGCCGACGCCGCACGCTCAACCACTGCACGCACAGCAGGGTCTGTTGCCTGATGCCCTGCCTTGCAGAAGAGGGCACGTCCTTTCAGCAATCTGATTTCGACTTCGACCCCCAATCCAATTTCCGATCCGAAAGCCACATGCGCCTTGCCAGCAGGCCCCCTGCCAAAGTCTTTCAGCCATCTAAGCAAAGTCTAAGTGGCCGCCTTCTATCGGTGGCAAGGTATGGCACAGTCTTCTCATCGGCTGCTATGGGCAGATTGAATTGTGCCTCCAGAGAGTCCTCACAATTGCACTTGCATCTTTGCATCCCTTCGGTGCAGCATTAACCCTCCCCAGCCTGTGATGAGTCAGCACAGCAGCAGCCAACTGAGCACAGCTTCAAACTGCTTCAAACAGCTGTCATAGCGGTTGCCATATCTGCCCAAAACTGCAACAGCGCTACGCGCATTCTGCCGTCCCCTTGCTCTCGCAATCGCAGCCAAGATTCCAAACATCGTGTGAGTGGCTGGCAGTCCTTCGTGCAAACAGGTGCCAATGGCCATTGAACACGTGCAAAGGGTTGGCATCTCCGGGCTCCACACAACGCTTTGCCTTGTTTGAGTCTGTGCGTCCCGTCCGTGGCCCATGTCGACATAAACCAACACATGAGAAGTTCACTCAGTCCTGCTTTGCCTTGAAGGGTCGATCACACACTTGACGATGCCAGGCCCCCGCAGGCAGAAAGGTGCAAATGAATTTCAATTGAAGACTGGAGCCAGGCAGTGCACTCAAATGTGCCTTCCCGAGCGAGCGGGCGTGGAGCAAGCAGGGTGCATTGCTGCATGGCAGCTGTTTTCAATGCTTCGCAGCAATGGTTCCCTTGGCATGCTTGACTCCAAGCAAAAGCGGGCAACGTAGGTTGCCAAAAGCTTCGCAGACACGGCATCCGGTCTCTCAGAGATGCCAGGATGACCTGGCACGGCGTACAGAGCATTGGAGTGGACACTGAATTCGCTGAACTCACGCACATTTCAGTAGGAAATGCATGACTAGTCAAGGGAAGTTTAAGAAGAACTTCCGTGGTACTGGCACTAATTGAGCTTCGCCATGAAAAGACAGGAGGCAGCTAGAACAAAGAGCAAGCTAACGCGCAGACCAACAATCTAAGTAGCTAGCTAGCTAGCTAGCTAACTAAACGATAGCGCCGGCAAAATGTCCTGTCTGACGGGCAAACTCTCAAACTAGCTAACTACCTAACCAGCTTCCTGGCTATATGACTAGCTGGGGTTGTAAAAACTGTTCGGCCCCTTTCAAAGCGATCGTTATTTACTCCCCATTGTTTAGTAGTCGGGGGCCTTGCCTAGCAATAAATTGCTTTCATACATACACCCCCCCCTACAACTTTTTTCATATTCCATCTTCTACCCTTATTTGTTTTCATCATTTTTCTACATTCCTTTCTGTCCATCTCATCCGTTTTTTTATCATCATTTTTCCAAAATTTTCGCCATCCTTTTCTCCTTCCTCCTCGCCTCATTCATTTCACCAACTACCTTTCAAAATGTCATTTCCTCAATCTCCTCACCTCATCCATTTCAAAAAAATAAATTTTGCAAAATATATTGCAAAAAATATTTGTCATCAAAAAAATATCGAACTGTCTAAAAACGATTTGTCCATTTCTCGGACAAAAAATAGAACAGCAACAACATCACTCCCCTCCTTCGTTTCATCACTTTTATCATATATATTTTTAGGCGTGGTCCTCCTTGTAGGATTTTATCTTCAATATATAAAACGCTATACTTACATTATAATTATAACATGTAAGGGTATAAATGTTATTATTATAGTATGGTTGTATTATTCAGGTTCATCAATAATTAGTTTAAACCTTATGTTTTTTACTCCTACAATATTCATTATATTCCTTCCATTATCAATATTTCTACATATTGTTGCAACTGCGAATTCCATTACATCAGTTATATTATCTTGGTCTATAGAACCCATTAAGTGTCTACCACTATGAAAATCAAAACCATAACTGCTATATTCATCATCCTCAAAATAATGAAAATGATGAAACCTTACACATAAAGCTGCATCAACTATTATTATTGCTTTATAACTTTCATATCCTACATACTTATCTATTAAGCTATCTATTTCATCCCCTTCTTTCATAACTATATCTTCAATACTTTCAATGCTTAATGGAACCTTCCTAGAAACATAATATTGAAATATTTGTCTCTTTACCTTATCACCATCTAAATTATTACAGTGCCTTGTTTTTCTTTCTATGTCAGTTCTGTCAATTTTATATCTTCCTTGTATTCTCTTCAATGTTTCATTATGATTATGCTTTATTTTCTTATATTCTGGCTTGCCATATTTATAGGACATAATATTAATAATGACTTCAACTGGTAGTTTTTGAAACTCCATTTCTATTATACTATATAGTGTTTATTTCTTTAAATACTTTTTTTACAAGAAATAAAATTAAATATTGAAATATAATTATAACATATAATATGTTACATGTTATTATTATATTATGATTATAATTTCAGTTCAGGATAACTATTTAATTGATACATCTTACTTCTTTCATACATCATTTTAAAAATAAGATTAATATCTCTCACTGTATTTTTAACATTAAACTGTTCACTTTCAATATATGATTTTATGACTTGTTTTACATCAACGCCGGGTTTACTATAATAAATCAACATCCATAATATGTCATTAATCATTTCATACTTTTTCTTACTGATTTTAAGAAACTGTTTAACATAATCGTAAGGTGGTCTCTCACACACAGTTAAAAATATCAATATTTCGTCTTCAACATTTCTTTCATCTATATTTTTAAACGCCAAACAATTTCTATTATATTTTGATATCGTCTCCATCTTCTACAAATGTTACATAAATTTTCTTTACCCAAAGAATAATCAATAGTATTATTAACTATTCCATTAGGTAAATTTAATTTATATAATTCCATATTTTCTTTTTTGAAGTGGCAACAGTCGTAGCATTTCTTATTGATATAACTGTTGATTTCGGTTTCAACCATTTCTATTATAATTTATGTAGTTGTTATTTATTAAATATTTTTTACAAGAAATACAATTAAATATTGAAATATAATTATAACATATAATATTTTACATGTTATTATTATAGTATGATTATAATTTAAGTTCAGGATAATAAGTTAATTGATGATTATTGAATTGTGCATATATCTTACGTCTGTCATGCATCAGTTCAAAAATAATATTAATATCTCTCACGGTATTTTTCACATTAAACTTTTTGCTTTCAATTTCTGATTCAATGTCTTCTTTTACATCACACCCTTCTCTTCTATTATGTAACAATATCCATAAAATGTGGTTAATCAGTTCATACTTTTTCTTACTGATTTTGAGAAATATTCTAACATAACTATAAGGTGGTCTTTCATACACAGTTAAAGATATTATAATGTCGTCTTCAACATTTCTATTATGTCTTCTTTTCAGATTTAACTGACATCTGATTAATTCTTGATTATCTCTCCATTCCTGACAATTTTTACATTCATCTTCTTTGCCCAAAGCATAACCAATAATATTATTGATTATTCCATTAGGTAAATTCAATTTATATAATTCCATGTTTTCTTTTTTTAAGTGGCAACAATCATAGCATGTTTTATTGATATAAGTATTGATTTCGGTTTCCACCATTTCTATTATAATATATATAGCTTTTATTTCTTTAAATACTTTTTTACAAGAAATAAATTTATACCTTTAATAACTCATGTCTCAAAAATGCCCTGTCATAATTTTCAATATAATAATATTCCTGTCCTAACTTCTTTTCAATCTTTGCTATTTTGTAGGTTTGTTTAGTCCATACTCCTACTCTCTCCTTTTCATTTGGTCTCCTTTTCCTGAATATCTTAACTTCATTTCCTACATTTAAATCTGGATAAACTCTATTTCTTTTGGCTTTCATACCTAAATTTAAACTCACTTCTAATTGGTGTTTAGGCTTTCTTGCTTCTGACGGTGTTAAGCCGTGCGAAGTGTGCTTTATTCCATTGTTATAGGTTAATATAATCTCGTGTATGTAGTCTGTCCATTGAATAGCCTTTCCTTTTTTCTCATCGTTTTCAACCCTCTTATACAAGCTATCTTTAAACGTCCTTATTGCCCTCTCCGCAAATGCTGGGTGTCCTCTGGTTCTGTGCAACTCTATTTTTTCACCCTTCAAGAAATCTATAACACTTTGATTGTTATAAGCTCCTTCGTCGTCAATATAAATTAGTTTGGGCTTTCCACCCATTTTTTTAATACATTCCATCAGTCCTGCTAAAATGTCCGCTGGCTGTTTTGACATAAGCGGGACAACAACCATATACTTAGAAAATATGTCAATACACATCATGCCAACTTTCATTTTTTGTTTAGGGATATCATTAATGAAAAATAAATCAATTTGAAACTCATAATATGCGTTAGGAGCTACAAATGAATTTTGCCCTCGGTTTAGCTCTCTGTTCTACATTCTTCCTAAAAAACTCATTAATATCGTTTATAGTTATTGTGTTATCCTTTTTTCTTGCTTCTTGTAAAGTGCGGTTCTTTGACCCGAAGCCTCCCTTATCATAATAAACATTATTAATAATATCTTGCTTAGATGCCATATAAAATAAGATAGATATTATTTTTCCCGGCGATTACAGTTTAAACAGTAAGATATACAGTTTTCCTTATGATGGGCATAATCGTTGTATATTCTTTGGGCTGTCATATTGCTATTTATTACTCCATTATTTATTTCTATTTCAAACTCTGAACTGCATCTATTACATCTGGTATTAAGCCTGTCAAATAACCATTTGACATCAATATATTTTGTGTTGTCTATCTCTCTCTCTGCTTTCATGTCTTGTAATTTATATTGTTTAATCTTATGTTCTAAATATCTGGTTACTTGTGCTTCATTTAAATCAGTATCATCTATGTCTGCTTTGAAAAACTTGACTTTATTGATATCTCTGCACCTTGTAATCGCTGTCCAAATCCACTCACGGCTGACCAAATGTGATTTATCCCATTCGTGTATAGTAATGCTTTTATCTAGAGAAGCCCCTTGAGACGAATGACATGTAGCACAATAAGCATGTATAAAGTGCTTGTCTAAAGTCGTGGTGTTTGTCATGAATATAGTTTTACTGTTGATATCTTGGATTTCTACTTTCCAATCATCAATACTAATAATTTCATAAGTAATATTTACATTAAACGCCTGCCCCATTTCCTTTTTATAAACTCTGCATATCACATGCTCTCCAATTTCATATTTATCTGTCTTTCCTAAATTACCTCTTACGGTCTTGCTTACCCATTTGCACCTAGCATTAGTATAGGCTATGTTATGCTCTCCTTCCATGATGTCGCTTGTAGTTTCAAAATGTTTGTTTACTATTTCCTTGAAGTGCAGCTTACTTTTCCAAATGTCATTATATATATCATTCAATTTAATTTTATCTTCTTCTGTCTTAAGTCTCTTAGATATCTTAAGATAAATCTTATATTTAAATATTTGATTAAGATAGTTGTTTAAATATGTCTCGTGGTCCTGGGTGTTAGTTAAATCAGCTATAGGTTTCAACTGCTTCCCGTCAGCAGTTCCTGTAATTATCTTCTCTGGGTGCGTATCCTTAAACTCCCTAACTCTGTTCAAAATAAAATTACCTGCCATACCTAGCTCATCAAACACAATACAATTATAATCAGAATGGTCAAATGTCGGTAGTCTTTCTCCAGCTTCTATTGGGATGCTAAAAAATTTGTTTAATGTTATGGCGTCGGCTTCGGTTTCTTGCTTCTGCTTGTTATTAGAACATACGAATAACACGTTATAACCTAGATTTTTCATATATTCGCCTATATAACTCTT